CATTATAAAATATGCATAGGGGTGTCACCCCTATCGCGAGAAGGGGTGCGACAACGCTCGGAAGTGAGCTGTGAGAGCAAGCGCTTTTTACATATGGTCACGTATGGTACGAAGGTAGGAATATGTATTTGCAAAGGGGAATATAATTAATCGGCGTTACAGAATGTGAAATTGTCACGTACCACAAAGTGATTATCCAGGTAACATGACATGGTGTCACGAGTTTATTTTCAAGTGTTTGAACAACCAAACAACGGGTGACGGGAAAAGGAAAGCTCAGGGCGACCCTCCACTCGTTTATCCAAGGGTTGGTTCTTAATAAATGAAATGCAGAATTATTTTCAATTTTTAATGAGAAATTCCCAGTAAATCCAGATTGTATGTAATATATCTAAGTATATAATATAAATATTAAACCGCACAAAATTACAAACTATTATCAAATCTGAAATTGATTCATTAGAATACGTACCAGTTACACACAAAAGGGGTGCTTCTTGGTTTAGAGTACCTAACTATCTTGTTTCTTTGAGCTAAGGTCCATCTCTCAATTTTAAGAGCTATATATCTTTGAAACATTGAAATTACCTCATTTCAAGTATCAATCTCATAGAGTCTCGTGTTCTTGAACCAAGAACACTCTTCTTTGTGTTTAGTAATAATAAATCCGAAAACATAACTTTTTTTAGACCTGAACCACCGCAAAGGCACAAGGCCTAAACACCAATGGGTACCGAGGAGCTATAGGGGGATTCAGGGGAAAGGGGTGGGGGGGCGACACACGGACTTTAGCGAGGGAACACGTGTGCATACAACATGCACACATCCCGGCCTGTCTTAGAGATCTGTCGAGTGGTACCTCTGCGTTCGACTGACAGCGAACATCTACCACCTACTCACTCAAACATCCATAGACAAGAGAAAACATCTCTTGGGACGGGATTCGAACCCGCGTAGCGCACGGCGACTACTGCGCTATCGCTGCTTCTTTGTGAGTTCATTCTGGAAAGCCTGGGGTGACTTTGAGGACGATTCCCACCCTTCTGTAACTACAGCATCCTGTGCCGCCCCCCGCAGGATTGAACATCTGCCAAATGCCCTAGCTGCTACCTCGTACTGCCCTTAGTAAGAGCCAAACCAATGCGTTTTAGTACAACTAGGCATTGACACAATTATGGACCAGGCTGATTGACCTCAAATAGAGTTACTCAAATAGATCAGGAGCCCAGTTCATAGGCGAGTTCCCTATTAGGATCGCCGCAGGCACAATCTAAAACCCTCGTCTCAGGTGTACCTTCGAAAGCAAAGATCATTACCTACAACTACCAGTCGTTGCTTCTGCAGGCGGTCCGAATGACCTTAGTCTCTGGGTCATAGTTATTGTGATGTCAATGTCTGTCGTTAGTCTGTCAGGTCTGGTGGCCCAGAAACCAGACAAGTTGTAAGGGAAAGGGCAGAGGAAGAAAGAAAGGAAGGAAGTAGGAGCGAGAAAAGAAAGAAAAGTAATTGTTTCATGTGAATATTTAGTCAGATCGATCTAAGCACTCTTACATTGTATAAACTTCGACGCGTCCTGTACTAACTATTGGGAGTCTGGTTTTCAAAAACTATATTTATTTATTGTATTACATATTTTTTAACGTCAAGCAAGGTCTAAGGGATTGAGCGTGAACATTTTTGTGCTCAGCTATTGAGAGTACAAATAAAACTGGGATCTGAATGCCCTTTTACTCTCTTTCCCGGAAGCTGTTACGATAAATCATATGAATCGATCAGAGTCGATTCAGAAACAGCAAATCCCATAGTCTAGTTGAACTACGGAGTCTTTAAATAATATTACCACAGCAACAAAACTCTCATTTTACAAAATTTTCGCGATTATGGAATTTCTTCGCCAGTGGAACTATGGAAGAACTATGAGAAAGTATTTAGTAGTCGTCTTAGGATGCATCTGTTGTGGGGTGAAGATTTAAAAAATCTAAACTTCTACTGAGAAACTAAGACCAGGCCAAAACAATGTTCGCTATAATATCCCTGTGATGGTGTCCCATTAAGATATCTCGGAAATTTTGAAAAAACGTCATGGTTGTTTACATTACCAGGATATGGTATGGTAAGTATAGGCTAACTATCAACGTATGACATAAAAGTTTTGCCACAAAATATTCATCAGACTTTTTTTAATGAAACTAGTTATCATAAATTGCAACTTAATACTTAACTAAACTATACGAATTATGTGGAGTGGCCCATTCTGCTCTACCGGACGCAATTTTCTTCAAATATCTCTCTCCTGGACGGAATTCAGATAAATTTCTGTTTTTCGTAAAGCCGCCGTCTTAATTGTTCTTTACCTTTGGCATCCCATCCTCCATGACAAAGCCTCATAGATAGTAAAGCCCAAAAGCTCCAAAAGCTTAGAGGATTATCGTTTTTGGGAACAAAAGGTATTTTGTGTCAGGGAAGCCAGTTTTGGTTGTCTATTGGATAATAGCATGATGTTAGGTTTGGCCAAAAAATGATATGGTCATTAGCATGATGTTCGTGGACAAACCGAAGCAATTTGGAAAGGCAGTTATCAATATGACTCTAACTATTCAAAGCTTCACCCCTCACTCTTCTCACAAAAGGTTTGAATACACCCCTGTTATAAATTGCGCAGCAGACAAGTACTTTATTTGCAAATTTCACTTTATGTTTGTATTTCAGAATTGAGTGAAATACTCTTCGTCATCTAAAATAATGATTTTTCCTTTGGCAAAGTGTACCAGCCTCAGTTGACGACAGCGTCTGAGAGTATTTAGGGCATTTATCTCTCTTTCGATACTTCCATTCCTACTCAATTCCAACTATATCGTGCTCTTAGAAGATCTGTGTTAACGAGCTAGTCTCCTTGTTGACATTCCAACCTGATTTTTTGCTCGTCTCACCAACGTCTCTGACCTCTCTGCAGTAAATGCACGTGGCTCTTCACTTTTTGGGTGATTCAGTCACGGTATTCCTTGCTCGCACTCCGTTATTGTTCGATAAATGGTTGTGCGTGAAATGTTTTTATTCTGGAATATATAGGTGGAAAAGTGCTATGCTTAAGTCATTAACCGTCAGTGGATTGTTTGAATATACTTTATCTTAAAGGAAGGAGAACATGTTTGTCATAACATTGCAAAAGTTATTGAAAAAACACACTTTTGGCATAGGTTCATATTACCCATTTAGGGACACGAACATTTCACATTCGTGGTAATGCTCAGTCGCTTTCCATGATTACGTGTTTAAAAATTAAAGATCTGCAATGCAAGATGTCTGTGTTCAATCGGTGACAAATGCCACTAAGTTTGAGTTCTAAAGCCTATTGGGACATCCTTTATAATGTCTAGTATTGTTTTTGATGTTAGGCGAATATCACACGATCAGTAATTACTGCAGTCCATACCATCAGTATTTACTGATGATTCCGTCAGATTTAGCAGTTTTTTACGTACCCCTTATACATCGATAATTCCATTGTGAATACTGACGAATCACAGTAAATACTGATCGTGTGACATTCGTCTCAGGACCTTTAGAAACCTTAAGGGCTTGTAGAACTAGTATTTTCGAACTATACGGTAACTAATGATAATACACCATGATATCTGGGATTTCACTTAATATAATATAATAATAATATAAAACATAGATGTTAATGATAATACACCATGATATCTGGTATTTCACTTAATATAATATAATAATAATATAAAACATAGATGTTTATTGCTCGCCTTCATTTTTATTTTGAAATTTTGGTTTCCGGGCCGATGATTTAAATTCAAGTTATAAATCCTTGGGACTACCTAAACATATCAGTTTCCAATATATATATATATATATATATATATAGGTATATATATATACAGCTTAATAAGTTTATTCTACCACTTCTTGTATAATGCCCGTTTCTTCCAGACATTCCTGCTTCACAAATCCTCCATAACCGCATCCTTCCATCTTCTTCTTGGTCTCCCTCTTTTGTTCGTGGCACCCGGAACTTTCCATGGTATATGCTTCACTGTTCTTTTTTGCAGTATTCTTACCAGGTGCATCAACCACTGCAATTTTTTGGTCCTAGCTGCTACTACTATATTTGGTTCATTATACATATGATTTACCTCCAACATTAGTCCTCCAACACACCCTCCCTCCACCTCGGCTACTCCAAATATTCTACTTAAAATTTTCCTCTCCCACCTAAGCGAAGTTTCTTCAAGTTTTTATTAATTACCCAGGTCTCCACTCCATACAAAAGGGTACAGCCTTATTTTACAGACTCTAAATGCATTTCTTGGCATGATATTCCTGTTCAGCATTCCCACACATTTTTCGGCCTTACCTATTCTAAAGTTTGTTTCTGTTTCCTCATTTATTTCAATACTAATCAGTGATCCTAAATACATAAACTCATCCATCTGCGCAAAAATCTTTTCCCCTGTTCTTACCGTTATTTTTTTCCTCCTGACAGCTCCCTATTTTCTTAAATAAACTTTTTTCTCGCTCACCTTCAATCCCATCGTAGTTTCTAAAATAGTTGGTGAAAAATAGATTTTTGCCAGATACATGTTGCTACTCTGAGTATAGGTCAGACTGAATTTTTAATAAATCTTTGAAGAATTTATAACTTCATTTATAAATTCAATTTTATTCAAACGTCAAAATTAAAGATCCCATAAACACAGCTGCGACTGCCGACTGTACGTTTTCAAATAATAATGTTCTCTGTGAAGTAATCCATTGAATTAAACATCTAAGTTAGGGAATGCCGAGGGATAAGTAGGCAATAACGGGCGGACAGAACAAGTGAAAGTCTGAAAGTGCGGAGGGAGGGACCCTAAGGGGCTGTTCGGCTGCTGTAGGGGCATGGTGAAAAAACCCTCGATCCTACCCACTGAATCTCTCCCCTCCTTATTTGCTAAATATTATATGAACGCCGGCCGAGCTTAGCAGTTCTTTTTTAATTATAGTATCATTCGGTGGGGTGGACCGCCTGGGGGAATATCAGTGGCGGAACAGGTGCAATTATGACTTACCAGGATCTACCTGTCAAAGAGCTGCTACCACCATCAGCAAGTGAATGGTGTCTATTGTAAATATCTACCCGTCAATTTCGTATTTCCCTGTGTCAAAAAGCGTAGGCCTTTGAAACTTGATAGCCCTTAAAAATGAATCTATCGAGGTTTGTGCCTATTGACACCTTTACATGAACAAAAAGAAGATAATATTTTCGATTGGCTTCGGAGAAAATTGGTCGAAACCCAACCTCCGTAAGAAATGTTGTCCTTTGAATGAAAATCACCGTCGGGTTGTGAAATATTTGGCTGCAAAGCTGACGAATACGTGAGCTCACACGTATTAATGGTGTTCCATATCGTTTTATTTTAGAAAAGAAAACAATTGTATAAACGTGTGAATACATAGTACTGTACACACTATAGTATAGTATTTCTGCAAAATTGAAGGGTACTCAGCTATTTAGTTTTTGGAATATTTGATATGAAAGTCCATAAATCCGTACTTTCTGGTATACTCAAATGCTCGGTATAGGGTATAGTACAAGTACAATACGTCAGTTGCTGTGAGGCATGCGGTTGTAAGGTCGGAGGTTAGGTAGAAAGTTTATGTCTGACTGTCAGACTAGTCACACTATAACCTACCCAGTATTTTAGAAGCAATGCTTACTGGAGAAATCCGTTTCACGAAACCAATTTCATGCTGCGAGTTGTACTCGAACATGCACACATACGAAACTACTATTCATCAGCTTTCAACACTTTTTTAAATCGTAGCTGCCCCAGCTGCCTTGAGGAGCCTAATTATACTTTGCTAATCCGATTTTTGAACCACCCAAGGCCAGCAGAACTGGGAAAAGGCTCCTAAGGTAGACTGACCAACAATTTTGACACCCTGGGGACAAAGGAGTGGCCGTATCGACAAGTTTTTGAGGTACGACACGGTTAAGTTGGAAGGCTGAAGTCAGGCGTCAGTTTGACAGGCACATTGCGTGGCGGCATTATGGAGGAGAGCTCTGAGGAGCAAAGTTCGTTGACATCGCGAAAAAAATACTTCTTAGTCCTAAGCAATATAATAATAATAATAATAATAAATTGCTTTTATTGCTCATGTAAGTACAGAAAAAGAAAAAATGCATAAATCTGATGCAGTGAGCAAACGGCAAGGTTCGCTTGATTGACAACCATTAGTTGTCAATCCGCGCTCTTCCACCTAAAAAAAAGTAGTATATCAGTAATAATACTAACAGCAAGAGAAAAGCTAACGTTAACACAGATACATATAGACATATTATGTTTTAAAACTATATATTATACATCCCAGCATTTTGTGGTTGTAATGGGTTCCAATAAAGGCGGAGATGAGTTTGCTTTGTGGTGGAGACTCTGAAATGACGAAGAACCAGAGTTATATGTTATTTAAACCCGTTGATCAGAATATGATAATTTCTTTAGGGCCAATTTCACCAACAACAGTCCGTTATTCTCCACCTATAGAGTAAGAGACCGTCAGATACAGCGACTGAGCTTAAGTTCCAATCAACAAATTTTAGCAACCAATAGCTATGAAATGTTGAAAAAGTATGAGATGAGAACTTGTTATTGAAACATCACCAGCTTATTGAATATTAAGAAATTACATATGATTCAGTCAAAATTTTCAGAAATGTTTTAGAATTAAATTCATGTTTTAATTACTATTGTTGACTTTTTATTCATGTTTATATTATTTTCTTCAATTGATATGTGATACTGGGCGTTTTTTCCTATAAACTTCTTGCAGATAGCCATTAAGCACCTACTTGATGACAGGCTCTACCAAAAGATATTGCTCGTTTCCAAACATTCATTCATTTACCTGCCGTTCATCAGAACCATTATGGCACCTTAGATTGATATTCTCACAAAACCATTCAGGTTTTTTGATATCCATACATCCATAAAGTTGAATATTTTTCGTTGTTCAGGAACTGAACAAACATCCGCACTATATTCACAGCGATTAAGGAATTCCCAAATATATGCCTTAAAACTACCAGCAAACCTAATACCTGCAAAAAAACTACAAGTTTGCCATATTTTTCTTTTTTCACGAGTACACATTCTAGGTTATATTTATATTAGACATTATTTCAATACAGCTGATTATTGCATTTCAAGGAGTGACACATGTGTGGGATCTGTCAACTCTTGGTACCAGTCACAAAACATATACTCTGAAGGTTTAATTCCATGCTATTCAATGACAACACGGTGACTTGTGTGGTTATCAGTGGCATTTTGTGAGGGTGTGACAGGGTTGCCAGATTGTGCATTAATATCCCGTTTCACCCTCCTGGTCGCAGTGGAGTAAGTTCCGCCAACTGTTGAAATATACTCGACTATGCTTTATAAGATTATTCGTGACATTTTTCCCAAAATCATTGCACAACACTTGAAAAAATGCAAATGAAAATTTAAAATTATTTCCAAGACGCCGCAATATAGCTTCGTCGATACCTTGAGTTATACATCTTGACAGTAGGGATGTTCGATACGATCCTATATTTAGAAGTATCAATACATTTCACGAGTATCGTCATCTTTCGATCCGGACTGTGTCAGAAAGAGTGACTGCCATTTGGCTGCGACATTACCCCGCCAAATCAGACATATCTTTCATCATTTTCAAAGAAATTGTACAAAAACTTCAAACTTGTGAAGATAGCGAGTTTCACTTCATACGTTGTTACCAGACATGCCCAAATCATCAGTTGCTGCCGTGATATTCATCCCGACCACTGCATCCCCACCGCTAGGCGACCTGTATGTTAAATTTGTATTGATAGGGCAGCGGGTTATGCTATAAATCATAATATGTCACAGTGTTTGTGCACTGATTGCAACGGTTAGATGATATCAAAAATATTTTCATAAATAGGAGATCTTTCCCATTCCGGATCGAACAATATACCAAAGATGCTTATAATCATGATACTTAGTAAATTTTCACGAAAAAAATTCAAAACCAGCAAATGTAAAAGATTCATTTCGCACCCTTCACCACGGGACGTGATTGTCGTTATACTTGGCAACCGTGCAAGTGACAGAGAGATATCCCCGCCAGTAAAAAAGAAAAATAGACAAACAATAAACATTACTAGTTGTTTCGATTTTTGGACTAAAAAGACATTATTTGTGAAACATTTTTCATAATTTTTTGTCTATGTCCATAGTAATTGCATTATGCATCAGGGAGGTGTAGGGATTGACACGACTTACACATAGTATCTGTGTTTTAGGATGGAGAGGACATAATGTTTTTATTGCTTTGAAGAAATTCGTTCTCCCATAACTTAATAAATGATTACTATTATGACGTAAAGGAAGATGAGGAATTGAATGGAATGTATTTTATGTTCTCTTTTCTTGCAAAATACAGACAAATCCACACTATTCAACAGGTATGTAATGATAACCTTCAGTATATTGAAGTTGATAAATTCAGAGAGCCATGCATTAACAAACGTCCAAATCTGCTACCAAATTTAACAGCTAGAAAATCGACCTATTATTTGCCGCATTCCCATTCGCTGAGAGGGATAACGGTTTGTTAAATGTAAACCTATAACATATATCAAAATACATGAAAGTTGTCCTGTTTTTTCTGTACAAAAGCATCATGTTGGAATCAAAAAGTGGTCTTGTTTATGATACAGTCGAATTTTCACGATTTTATTCAATATTTCAATAGACATCACTAATATTCAGAGACCTTTGACAGCTTCTGTCAAATTGCATTTCGATAAGGTATTTTTCCATTGGTCCATAATATTAATGTTGGTGGTTTATTAGTGGCAACTAACAGAAAAGGACACCATTTGGAGTTTAGCTTTGAGTGCTGAGCAGATAAAGTGGTCACAGTGAATTCGGTGACTAGAAATCCGGAATTCCAGTTCAAACGTGAAAATGATATTTTAGAAAACCATTGTTCCGAGTTTGGGAAAACCTGGTTTCCTAAAACTGAAGCTGCTTACAAGATATTCACACAAAGAAATTTTCCCAGTAGTACCTGTATCTCGAAAATGAGACTTGCGTAGAATTTTAACTTTCGCGTATTATAAAAATGCTTTTGACTATGCCCTAACATAATAAAAAAAGTTTATGGATGCCGAAAAACTGATTAGATACTTTTTAAAAGTTCGCTCTCTCAAAAATAATTTTTACAACTACGATAGAGGACTTTGATGTTGCCAGATTTCACCATATCCTATACTCGCGTGCATGTGAATTTTAAAACAGTAAAAGGTAAAATTCGGAGGATTTAGAAAAGACCAAATAGGCGCTGTTAATACACAAATAGTTTGTATTTGCTTTCGAGGTGGAAATAAATAACGATCTTATAGGATTCCGAGACTATCCAAGACCCTCTGTCATTTACGCCACTGGCACTGGCTCTCCGCTTTACCAAGAGTGCAACTAGCGGAACGCCATATGGTCGAATTCCAAACCAGGCAGCCAACATCAAGGAAGGAAGGGAGGGTTTTGTAAAACAGGAGTTAACTTTTAAAAAGCTTTTAATATCCCAATACGGCGTCCAATTATTCCGTAGTTAGCGAACAATCGGCTGCTATTTCGATTCATTTATCACTGTGTGTGCCAGCTAACGGCGCGCTGAAGTGACGTCGCGTCCTTCGCGGTCCGGTTGGTTTCATATTTGATTTTCGATCAAAGCATCGTGATTGGCTATCGATGTAGATATTGGTGACAACAGGGTGTTCCATTATATAAGGACAACCGGAGTGGACCTGTACAAGTAGAGGACTTGAAACTCATGATTTTTCGAAAACAAGAGTTTCAAAAGAACATAGCAAACCTATATCGATGCTCGCTTAACGACATCGATAGAACTGTGCGAGGTAAAGGGAACCAACCCGGAGTTCCCAGAGACTGAAACACATGAGGAGACGTTGTAGCAGACCGCAGGTCACGCACAACACATGGCCTACTCAGACGCTGATGAGTCGGGCCACGCGGAGGTTAGGGTTTAGTGGGTATTAGGTGGTCTCCTCAAGACAACCT